TGAATTATATTTTATTAGCTTCAGGGTCAGTTAGCTCCTGTTGTGCCTGTGATAAGACCAGCAGGGCTGCAACTTAAAATTATTTTATTAAGTGATTAACTGATTATGGTTTGGCGGCTATAAAATCTCAGTGAAGTATAAAAAAAGTTCAGCGTGACGTGTTCAAATGTTCTTGTTTTGTCCAAAATAATCATTAATCAATAAGAGATATTTACTGTCAGAATGTTCCCTTTAAAAAAAAAAAAAAAAACAAAAAAAAAGAAAAAGTTTATTTCTTTTGGGCAGTTGTGCCTTTTATTGGACAGGCAACATGAGAGAGTGACAGGAAAGTAGGAGACGTGGACTAACATGCAGCAAATGGCCACATGGCCCGCCCGAGCGGCACGCGCTCCACCAGGTGAGCCACCCGGCTCCCCAGAATATTCGCATTTGAGACTGTTTGCCATTCTTGCTAAAACATTGCTCTACAATTCTTCCATTATCAAAATTATAGCACATTCATTTTCTCTCAGTTGATTGATTGATGGATCAACTAATTGCTGCAGGTCTAAAGATCATTTCAGCCAATCACAACAAGCAACATCACACACGACAAAAGCTACATGACAATGTAAGAACAGCAGATGATGACCTTATTGTTTAAGTCCTGCAGCAGCTCATACATTCAGTAACACTTTATTAAATGGTTGTACACAGATTATACTGGAAATGCTGGGAATCACAGTGAGCTTGTGTTCAAATATAACACTGTTCATCATGACTAATAACAAACCTCTTTCAACAACGTGAAAAAATAGAGCCCAGGTTATGGAATCAACAGAGTCGCAAGGCTTCTTCCTCTGGACTGTGTTTATGCTAACCCTGTTTATGTGCTCATGACACTCAGCCTGTGACATTACTCACTATATTGTGTGCCAATGGGAAATTTGGTGGGAAAGTCCACGGTCAAGTCCACAGGGTCACCAAAATAAGAAGGTTTGATTCCACAGAGCTGTGAATATGTATAGAAAGCTGAGAATTTGTCCTGATGATGGTGCAAGAGAAAAACTCAGTGTCCAAAGTAGAAAAGCTTGAACAGTTTCCTTTCACATACACAAGTGTTATCGTCATGGAAACATATTCTCAGATGGGAGGCCTTACTCACAGTGGAGGAACTTGCATGATGTCACCGGTAAAAGATTTCAGTTTCTCCTCAATGTCCAACCTGGTTATGTGCTCTGTAAGGAAAAAAATAAACATCACAAACACACTGTGAAATGTTGTACTGTATTGTATATGTTCCAGGTGAAACAGTGGCTTCAGTGAGTAGATTATAAACCGCTGAAGGTGAAATGATGTATTACTGAAGTCTTTCTCCAGAATCACACTGCCTGTAGCATCAAGAGTGTCTGTTGCTTTACCCAGCTCCCCCACAGCAACGTATTTCTGAAAAATGAACACACACACACACACACGTATCTATAACACATCTATCACAGATGATAAGTATCAGTTTAGTATCAGTCGGCCAATAAGTAACAAGAAATGTCAGTACAGGAATACAGAATATATCTTGGAGCTAGTTAAGAATGTTACAATGTGGATCACAATTCTTTAATACAGAATTTAAGGGAATTTTATCAAATATTTATGTAAAAAAATTATCAGATGATGCATTGTTATTAGATTTCTTAAAAATCTGATATTAAAATTGGACTTAAAAATCCAGTATGTGCAGCCATTACATCACTTCAGAATAGTTACATTCTGAGAGCTCCCTGTCCCTCCACTAAAAACCTCTATCACAGCTGCGTAAAAGCTTGAGACATTCCAAAAGGGACTTTTTGGAACAGTGCAGCAAATAAATGAATAAAATTATCTTTGGTGAAATGAGGTTTTCTTGATCTCTTACACACTATAAATAAGGTCTCAATTCTTGTCCTTTTAGACCTAAGTGCAGCGTTTGATACAACTGACCATAATATTTATATCAATCATCTTGAAAAGTTGGTCTTTCTGACTCTGTGTTAAACTGGTTCAAAACAAACATTATACGGAGGAAGTTTTTCGTCAGTCTTGGAGATCATGTGTCTGAGAAACACAACATCTGCTGTGGGGTTGCTGAAGGGAGCTGCCTTGGCCCATTATTATTCTCACTGTACATGCTGCCAATTGGTAACATCATCAGAGAGCACAATGTATGTTTCCATAGTTACGCTGATGACACACAACTGTACATCTCTGCTGAACCAAATGATGCTGCAGCGATAAACTCCATTACTATATGTCTTCTAGCAATAAATAAATGGATGAGCAACAACTTCTTAAAGTTAAATGAGGACAAAACTGAAATCCTACTAGTCGGCCCCAAAACAAAAAAACAATGCTGTTCAATAACCTGGGGAAACTGATTCCCTGGATTAAATCTGAGGTAACAAGTCTTGGCATTATCTTGGATTCAGATCTAAGCTTCAAGTCCCACATCAACAAGGTGACAAAAACATCATTTTCCATAGACACAGAAACAGCTAAAGTACGGCCATTTATAAACCAAAAAGATGCTGAAAGATTGATTCATGCCTTCATTTCAAGCTGACTTGATTACTGCAACACACTTTTTACTGGGCTGCTGAAGAAAACCACTGAGAGACTTCAGCTAATTCAAAACTCTGCAGCTTGGCTATTAACCAGAACCAAGAAGAGAGAGCACATCAGTCCAGTTTTAGAGGCTCCGCATGGCCTTCCTGTGACATTCAGGACTGATTTCAAGCTCCTCCTCCTCATATACAAAGGCCTTAATGGGCAAGGACCAAGCTACATTGCTAACTCCCTGATTAACTATGTACCTCCGAGAACACTGAGATCATCCACTGCTGCTTTATTTAAGGTTCCCAGCAACAGCCGTAGGAAAACTGGATGCAGCCTTCTGCTCCTACGTTAGTTACGGCTCAATAATGAGAATCTATCTGAGCTGAAGCAGCTATATAATGCGGAATGGTCCACAGAATTCATCGTAAACATTGTGCAGGTCTGATCAGAAGCTACTGGAGGAGCTGGTGTGAGGTCATTGCTGCCAAAAGAGGTTCAACCAGTTATTAAATTAAATGCAATGATTCCTTTACTTTTTCTACCAGCACTTTAAATGTTTTACGGTTGTGT